AGAGGAGCCGGGGTGAGAGACAGCTGTGTAGACTGGAAGGGCCGTGAAGAAAAAGGAGAGGGCGGAGGCACTGGGGCAGAGATCCCCTGCAGGGACCTGGCGCCGGAGGAGGCCGGGACGCCGTGGAGGGGACCCACGCCGCAGCACGCACATTGCAGCAGCCTGGGAAGGACCCTCCCGTGAGAGGGACCCCACGCTGCAGCAGGGAAAGGCTGTGAGGAGCCCTTCCCTGAGGAGGAGGGAGCGGCAGGACGGGGCACGGACCGACCGCAGCCCCATCCCCTGCCCCTGCGCCGGGGGCGAGAAGGTGGAGGAATGGGGAACCAAGCCTTTGGGCCTGGGAACAGGGGAGGGGTGGGGGAGAAACGCCTTCTAAGATGCACTTCTCTTTCTCATTATCTTGCTCTGTTGTTGGGGGTTTTTTTCATTGTTAACAAATTACATGGCTTTTGTGTTTTCCCAAGTCGAGTCTGTTTCCTGCCCGTGACCATTAGTGGTGAGTGAACCCTCCCCGTCCCTGCCTCAGCCCACGGGGTTTAGCAAGAGGCTGTGTGGTGGCCTTAAACCACAACACCTTGCAATTCAGCTTTAGTGCACAACCTGTTCTGCTGTTAGCATGCTTTACAGATCAGGAAAAATGCACAATTTTTTCATCATTTCATACATACTGTTCTCAGACATGCACTACATCACTATTACACCCGTGTTTCTAGACTATATGGATTCTGTTAGCAAACATCCTCAAAAAGAATGGAATTTTGAAAACCTTGAAAATACCTTAAACGAGATAATGAATGCAAGGTAGCTTAAGGCAGACAAAGGGCACGTAGCTGTTTACCCATGCTAGTATCGGGTTTGTATGCAAAGGGTGCACAACCTTACCTCCACAAGATGGTTGTCAGGTCCGTAAAGATCTTTGTCCAGTTCAATAACCAAACTCTTAAAAAAAGATGAAAACTTCCGTTTCTGTTTGCTGAGCTGTACAATCAGAAGAAACAGAAATGTTTAAGGCTGCATATATTAGCTTGTGTTCTATGGTTCCTTCTCAGGCTTTTTCCTTCTCTTGAACATTAATTCCCATGTAGACCACCAGCGTGATCCATCTCACTGAGTTTTCTCTCTGACTAATGCAGGGTAAGAAGCAAAAATCTCAACAGTGGGAGAACAGTGCACACTTAAGGGAAGGTTTCCCTGACTCTCTTTATGTTATTGGCAACAATGGGCTTGCAATGTGAACACGGAACCTGTGAGGGTAGGTCCAGAGGAGGCCACAAAACTGGTCCAAGGGCTGGAACACCTCCCATCCGAGGGCAGGCTGCGAGAGTTGGGGGTGTTCAGCCTGGAGAAGAGAAGGCTCCGGGGAGACCTTACTTCAGTCCTTCAGTACTTAAAGGGGGCTCATAAGAAAGATGAGGACAGACTTTTTAGCAAGGCCGGTAGTGACAGGACAAGGGGCAAGAGTTTCAAACTGAAGGAGGGTAGGTTTAGACCGGACATAAGGAAGAACCGTTATCCTGTGCGGGGGGGTGAGGCACTGGAGGGGTTCAAGGCCAGGCTGGATGAGGCTTTGAGCAACCTGGGCTGGTGGGAGGTGTCCCTGCCCATGGCAGGGGGGTTGGAACTAGATGGGCTTTAAGGTCCTTTCCAACCCAAACCATTCTGTCATTCTAAGGCAACTGTATACCTTTAATTTTAATAGCTTGGGTTTTTTGATGAATGCTACTTTCTTAGTCTGATATATCAGACAACAGTAAATTTTACAGATTAATCATACAGTAAGTAAAAGTATTTCCTTTTACATTTTGCCTTTCCATTTAATTATCAGTATTCACTGTTTACTACGCAGCTCGTACTGTCTAAATCAAAAACTAGGAGGTCTATAATCACATAATCTGACCTTCCAGAGAATACAGTCCACAGGATTTCAATGAATTTCTTCCTATTTAATGCAGAAAATATTTCAGAAATACATCCTCCTTCAATTTAAAATTTGCCAGTAACCGAGAAGCTATTTTGTTCCAATACAGACTCTCTTTCTTTGTTAAAATACATGCTCCAATATCTAAACTGAATTTGTCTAACTTCAATTTCCCCATGTTGCACTCTTCCACCCCTCCATCCTCCAGCAAGATTATGATTCTGATTCATGTAGTTATTTCCAGACAGACATGCCTTGGAAGCCTTGCCCTCTCCATACATACATGTTCTTCATCTGTTTATCCTGTCAAATACTCAGCTTGTGAAGTCTATTCAAGTCAGCGACACCTTTATTAGAAAAGTCCAGCCTTCCCCAAGGAAAGCTAAATCCATCACTGAGGCGTCTGAGGACTTCAGAACGATAAAACTTTTCTTCCACCCTTGCTCTGACCATCCATACATCCTCTTGTCCTCCCTAGGAATATGAGCTACCTGCTTCTCCTTGTTACCCTGCTCTTCACAAGACGCAATGCCTGCCGCAGGCCTGACTTACCACACTTCTCACGACCTGAACCTTGCTGTATCTTTTAAGGTAATCGTCTCAGCCCTGTTCTCGCCACCTCCTCCTACCTGTCCCGTCCTTAAGCCTGCTCCATTTCCTGCTGCCCTCCCCACCCCTCCCCAACATTCCCATGATGGCCTTATCCCTCACTCTGGCTGGACATGGTGCCCTCCCAGCAGCAACAAGCCAGCGCTGCCATTCAGAGGTGACTTGTCTGAGCTGATGTCCCCAGTAATGCCCACCACCCCACAGGACAATCTCTAGATCTTTGCCAGCCCCAGCGAAGCACAGGTAAGTCATACATCATCCAGGAGCTTCCCCTCCACTCGCAGCTCCCATGAAGCAATGCTGCCATCGGAGTCATCAGCGTCAGATTTTGCAGGATTGAATGTGTTGGAGATGTAAAGTCTCAGTTTCCGCTTTTGCTGTTGTACAAATAGAGAAAAGAAAAGTACACATCCAGTTTAAGTCCAAGAGCTGAGGAAGCCACAGGAAAGGTGATAGTTGCACATTTAGTAGAGAACCTGCATGCTGAGTACAATTGCATCAGGTTATATCAGAATTTAAGGTTTGGTTGTGTAAGAAAATACCTTTAAGACCTGAATCTGAAACTTCCCTTCAAAAACTACTGGCTATACAAACATGCTGAGATCCACTGTGAGTGCAGAGAGACAGGACGTTGCAGGGCCAAGCCCATGAGGCTATACATTTCGTACTTCTGGATTAGATACTTCAGAAGTCATTGTAAGAAAAGCATGACATGATGGCCTTCCTGTCTTGATCCCAGCTAGATTGCTAAGACTCAGCTGCAAACCTCTTGCTACATGCATGTCCTTCGTGGTTGCATCAGTTAAGATTTGTAAACACAGCTAATGCTGCAAACTACATGCTGGGCACATCTCTGCCCATCTTCATTATACCATCACGCAGAGCCTGGCAATACTCTTCCTACAGACACACCCCCCCGCTGCAAACCCTCCTCTTTCACTGCCTTTCCCCCCACGCACACACGTTGCAGCTCCCGCTTGCTGTGAGACCCGAGGAGAGGAAGGCACTGTGCTTCCCCACTAACCCAGGTGCTCTGGTCTGGGCGAGATACCTGCTGTCACTGTCACAGGCTGTCCCAGGTTTCCCAGTCACTGTACTGGCTCATGGCTATGTGAGCTCCCAGTGCCCATCTCCCTCGTGCACCATGTGGAAAACCTGGCCGTTAACTCTGATGCATGGCTTACAGAAAAGATACTGCCAGAAATTTATTTGGGACTCTAATCTCAAATATCTGTTTATAACATAGTGACAAAAAGGCTACAGTTGTCAAGATAATGCAGTCAAGACAGCCGTCACACAACGTAAGAAAGGAGTAGTCTTGCAAAGCTTTCACACAGACGTATATGGGAGAGAAGGAAGTTATATACATCAGGTCAGGAAACAAAAAATCGAAGAGGAATCTTCTAGAGGAATGTGAGAGGCAGAGATGCATGGCTGAAGACGAACAAGAAAATTACTACATTTTGCCAAATCTAGAGAAGACAGTGACAGAAAGGTTTGGTGGAAATGGAGTGTCAATAGTACACACTGAGAGGAAACAGGATTTTCAACAGTGCAGAGAGTCCAGAAAATGACACGCTGACACAGACAAGAACAGGCAGATAGATAGAAAAATACTCCTGGAAATCCATATTCTTTCTCCATCCTTTCCTGCAGGATTTCTGTTGATAAAAGTGTATTTCATTATATAAAATGGGGTTTTTTTACTGCCCCTGAATCTTTATTTGGTGTGGAGGGCTTGTGAAGGACTTCACATTTCTCTCTCTTCAAATTAACTTGGGCATTTTAAGCACTGTTCCTAAATTTTATCCCTGCCTGGATTATTTACAAAACTGTATCTATATACATAAGATTTTTTCTTAATGGTTCCTCCTGGATACTCTACTGATACTTCAGGTTTATATCACTGATTCCATTTCCTCTTCTTTTGATTTTCAAAGACATTCTCTCCATTCTCCCCTTTACCCTGGAAAGTCCTTCCCTCCTATCTCCCCATATCCAGACAGGAGCCGTGTCTGTTTCCTCCGGTCTGACAGTTCATCATGAAGGTCATCCTCTGCAATAACACCCTTCTTCAGACCTGATTATTTTAGATGTCTTCCTTTCTCCTAGCATTCAGGCTCTAGCTTTCTAGGACAGTCCACCTAAAAACAAGTTAGTAACAATGTCTGACTCCAGTGTGAAATACAAAATACCTCTCCTTGATACCTTCCACTGTTCCCCTTTGCTAACCCCTCACCACTTTTCTTTCAAGTCATGCACAAGCCAGATGCAGCTTCCATTGCAGAGCTGGTCTCCTGCTGGGTTTCCTACACTTACCCTGCTCTGCCAAAGTCAGACTCTGCCTACCGTTGCTGGTTTTTCCCACATCTCTCTCTTCCATTTACAGTGTTTTCTTCTACACAATGAATTACCTTTCTCAAATGTAAACCTTTCCTCACTGTAGCCCCTATACATCAGCCCACTTCTTCCACATTGTCATCAGAAAGTAACTTAAGATAATTATGAATAAAAATCCCAAGTAATGGCTATGCACAGCCCGCCCTGGAGCAGGCTCCTGGCGGGACCCGTGGGCCGTGGAGAGCGGAGCCCACGCTGGAGCAGGTTTGCTGGCAGGCCTTGTACCCCACGGGGGACCCACGCTTGAGCAGTTCGTGAAGAACTGCAGCCCGTGGGGAAAGACTCGCGTTGGAGAAGTTGACAGAGGACTGTCTCCATGGGAGGGACCCCACGCTGGAGTGGGGAAGAGTGTGAGGCGTCTGCCCCAGGAGGAAGGAGCGGCAGAGACCACACGTGACGGACTGACACAGCCCCCATTCCTGTCCCCTGCACCGCTGAGGGGATGAAGTAGAGAAAACTGTGAGTAAAGTTAACCCTGGGAAGGAGAGGGGAGTCGGGGGAAGCTGTTTTAAGATTTAGTTTTTATTTTATCACTACCCTACTCCGGTTTCATAGGTAATAAATTAAATTTATATTCCCCACGTTGAGTCTGTTTTGCCCACGATGGTAACTGGTGAGTGGTCTCTCCCTGTCCTTACCTCGACCCACGAGCCTTTCGTTATCTCTTGTCTCCCCTGCCCAGCTGAGGAGGGGCGGGACACCCAGCATCCAGCCAGGGTCAACCCACCACACCTGGGTAGCCCAGAACTCTGAAGGGTCATTTCTGGGGAGGAACGCTCTCTTTTTATTCCCTAAGATCCAACTCTGTGCTTGTGCTATTGCCTCCTCTCACGAGACTCCAAATGCCCGCTTTTCTTCTGGCCTCTTACGCACCGCGGCAGCCCCTTGTCTCTGTGCCCTGCCCTGCACACTCCCCCTGAGGCTCTACCAGGCCAAGAGCACCGCAGGACACGACACACACGAGCCTTCCCTTCGACGGCCGCGCTGCCACGCGCTCAAAGAACGCACACAGCCCACCACAAAGGGCCACCAGCTGTCACACGTGTCACCACCAGTAGCTCCAGAGCTGACCTGCAGCGTGCAGCGAGATCTGCCAAAGGCGATCCGGTAAGCGGTCTAACAGAACTGTGAAGAAGGCGTTTGGCCAGGAGCACCACCCAAGCAGCCAGGCACCTCCTCCTCTGCACGGCGCCGCACGGACCCCGGGACGCTCAAGCCTCCACAGCCACCCTTCCGAGGCGAATGTCTCAGCAACACGCACTACAGCACAGACCTGAAATCTGTCCTCTCTGCATGGTGGCTTCTCAGAGAACAGAAAAGCAACCAACCAAAGCCTGTGGCCTTGTTTCGTACTGGTAGGATTCTCAGCAGCTTGGAGCAAAAGCTGAAGAGAAAGCTTACAGCTCTGGGGCAAGGAGAAAGGAGAAAAAGGAGAAAGGAGAAAGGAGAAAGGAGAAAGGAGAAAGGAGAAAGGAGAAAGCATCGCACGCCGTCTGTTCAGACACACTGACGCATCACCACCCACCATGACGAGCTCAATGGGGGGAACTTCACAGAGACTTGATCAATGTTGTGAATCAAATAACCTCTTGTCCAAAAACCAATAAATGCTCAATCTGCTTATTCTCTAAGCGTAAGACACACATCTTCAATATGCATCTTTGATTTGTCTTCAGCAAAGAGAACTTGAAATAGCAGTCATATTTAAAAAAAAAACCTTTCCCAAAAAGCACTGCATTTCACTTACAACTCCTCCTTGAGGAAAAGAAAAAGAAAAAAGAAGCATATGTGACAGAAGATGGGTCACGGCAGCAATGAACTACTGCAAAGGTCTCAGCTACAACAGCAGCACAAATGACGGGAGAGCTCCTGTGGAACAGAACAGATCTAAACAGGAGGCTGACGGGAATGCTGGAGCTACAGAACTACAGCTTTTTTCTCTCTCTAAGCTCTTCAACGTCATCTTCACACAAAGCAATACAGCTTTAAGTCGAAGTAAATCAGTGAAATGCTGAAAATCTGTCAAATCCTTCAGAAAGCTACCTCTGGTTTATAATGCCACATTTTTTTCAGTTTCCGTTAGCATTAAATCCCTAAAAAGTCAAATCAGAAACTAAGTATCTGAAGTTACCGTGATCTGTGTGATAACTCCCAGACAAATCTCCATCGACTGCTTAAGTTAACGTTTCCTTCAGTTGGCTATCAGGCAGGACACAATACCTCCAGACACTTCCAGGGAACTTGCGCTTGGGATTTCTGACAAATTAAGTCACCAGCAGACAATAGACTATTGCTGACTGAATCAAGGAAATCTGGCTGCCCAACCTGTGACCAGCATCGTGTGAAGAGCTCTCTATGCACATCTGAAGGATGGGTTTCTATGTACCTCAACACAGCATAAAAACCTGAAGCATAAAGCACAGGAAAGATTAAAATCTGTGTTTCTGTCTTTACATATAAAGTAACTGTCACATGGTCTCACAAAAACTTTTTAGGAAGCAAAAAAACCAGTGGAAGATAAAGTAGCATGGAGACTAGAAATGGGGAGACAAAAAGAACAATGACCACCAGTAACAAGTGTTCAAGTCTGACCACTACGAAAGAATCAAACGAGAGTGTCCATTCCAGAGCTGGAATAGAGCGGTACTGCTCACTCAGGGTAGCAGCAAACGTGTGTCAGAATTTGTAGAAGAAACAAAATTAGTTAGGTCACACATGACAACGAAAGATGGACAAGAACTTAAAAATGGCCAACCCAAAGCAAGAAAATCAGGGACTCAGCAGAATATGCAAGTATCGTGAATACTAAAAGGAACTACCCAGTATTTACTGAGTTCAAAATTGTACCAACACATGAAAAACACCTGTAGACAGTTCTATAAAAACTTCCACAAAAAAAAAAAACCCTCCCAAAAAGTCACACAAATGTTATGGAGGAATAAAACAGAGACTAGTATGCACAATAGTCTATAAAATCAGTTACAGCAGCTTATTTGGCCATTGTATACTATACTCTCTCAGAAAGAGAATCAGGAGGTGTACACTGACGGGTGACAAGAATAGCTAGGTGCACCCAAAAATTCTGTTTCTGCAGTGATTGGCAGAACTGAATTTTTTACCTAAAAAAAGAGAACATTAAAGAAGCTGAAAGACTTATTTAAAATATGGGCTGACCTAAAGAAGGAGATTAGGTGTTTGCATTTTCCTTAAAGCAGAACACATAAAACCATGCCACAAGACCAAAAATTCAAACCTGATCAATGGAAGTATGTTGTGTATGCTATACAGAGCATAATGAAGCATAGTTAGCCCCTAAAACTCACTGTCACAGAACACAGATTTAAAACTTGCAGCTTTTTAAGCCAGAAGAGACTTTACTGCCCAGTTTAATTTCCTGGGCAACACAGGCTCAAATCATTGATCAAACAGGGCAGCTCTTTTTAAAGGACATTCCGTGTCGACATAATGAAAAATCCATTACATCTCTGGTATCTTGCTCTAGGGGTCATAAATATGCACATTAATCAGTCTCAATTGGTCTATTTTTGAACTACCAGCTGTTGGACCAAAGCCAAAAGCTCTTAAAAAAAAACAAAACCCAAAAACCAAACAAACACACGCACACACAAAACCAGGGAAGGGGCTGGAGAGGCTATACTATGTACAGATCCCAGGAATATCCAGTCATATCAATCAATACATGAGAATTTTAAAAGATGTCAGACTTTCTGTGTCCTGACATAAACTGATCTCTGATCACTAGAACTTAGGTGGAACTGTTACCTACAGTTGGAAGGGCTTCTGGCACCCTCCTATGAAGTATTTAGCGCTGGAACACAAAACCCAGAGAGGCTATGGAGTCTTCTACCTTGGAGATGTTCAAAAGCCATCTGGACATGGTCCTGGGCAACCAGCTCCAGGTGGCTCTGCTTGGGCAGGAAGGTTGGACAAAACCACCTCCAGAGGTCCCTGCCAACCTCGGCCAGTCTGTGATCCTTTAAAATATCACACCCCCTGCAGAGCTCGATGGAGTACACCAATGGGCCCCAGCGCCACCGAGCTGGCACCCACAGTAAGTCCAGGTCACAGGTCTGTATTGTGTAATGCTTTTCAGAACCCACGAAGATACCATTTCAAAAATGAAATCTTTGTTTCCCCTCCTTGATTTTGAGGAATTTTGCTTCTCTGACAATTACAGCCTCTTTCTAATTTCAAGCTTAGCATTTATTCAGTCACCTTTTCCCCATTTGTTCTTGTGCTGGCATTGTTCCTCAGCCTCAATGCCGATGCTTTTCTTCCCCTCTACCGAAAAGGCAGCCACTCCCAGTCCTAAATTTTCTTTAGCAATCCCCACGCCTTTCTCTGTAACATCCCATGAAGAAGGAATAAAATGTTTTGCTCAAGTTGGAGTAAATGACACCTACTGCATTTGTTGGCTGAAGCAAGCACAGGTCTAATTCCAGGAGCTCAAGGACAGTAGAGTTCAGAGTATGACACAAAAATCTCCACAATTTGTCCTTCTGCCCCTAAGATGCTTGGGGCATCTTGGGGCATCCCTTGGATGCTGGCGGTTTAGAAGTCGGTACAGGGAAAAGATGAGAGTCTCTTAGAATGCCGGAACTGCAGAGCTCAGGTCTGAGGCGCTGGGGACACAGGGCATGCTGAGCAAAAAAACCCCGTCACGCCTGTGAGGGCAGAGGACCAGGCAGAACCCTTAGTGTTTCAGAAAAAATGCAAATTTCCTTCTGCCAACAATCCGACAGCAATTCCTCAGTCATCTTAAAACCTGGAATCAGGGAAAGAATCACAATTTACAAAACCAGGGAGAGAGACATTGTGGCTGCATTCAGACACTCCTACTCTTTTTTAACCTAAAAACGGAGAACCTGGGAGTAGATCACTTCGTTTGAGGAAATGCAACCACACACACGTCTGGTAAATTCCACGCCCCACACCAGTTCCCTGTGAAAGAGTGACAGTCCCTGGATAGCCGTCTTTGGTTTGGGTGAGACCAAGCTACGGTCTGTGGCGCCAGGGCTGGAGCAGGAGCCTTGCTTGTGCGATGGGTCGCTAGATGCTTCTTTCAGCTGGGTGACCCCTGAATCAAGCCTCGGAATGAAAATCATCTCAGTCTGAAAAGATGCTTGTGGCCACAACTGGCTAGTTATCTCAGGCTTAGGCAATGGAGAGAAACAGGCAGTTTTTAGGGCATGGTTCATCTACATTCTTTTAAATGTCCACTCCTGTACGAGAAGAGCTGTGCCCGGAACTCCATTGCCTACGCTGACTACATCTCTCGACTACAAAGGGAGCCCAGAGTGAGCAGCTTACATATAAATAAAAACAACGTAGATGTCTATACTTCACCAAATGAATCCCACTCCCAAAGTCCACCGTGGTTCTAGCTGTCCAGCTTTTCAGTAATGCATTCTTCTTTAATGACATCTACTCATCTGCAGCTGGGCCATACGGTTCCTGTTTCCTCCAGGCTCTGGAGCTTGCTCTATCCATACCTCCAGCTACGCTGCACCCGAACAGCCCCGGCCGCCTGGCTCCCTCCTGGAGTCCCTTCTGGAATTTCAAACATGTGAGCGGAAGGGTCTTCCATAAAGTCAGTGCAAGGACTCTTGTGACAAGTGGCATGCAGCAAATGCCACACTGTGGACAAGGAACTCTGAGATTCCCGTGACAAGTGCAGTCCAAGAACGCAGGACTGACAGAGGAGGAGAGAACACACAAGTACCGAACAGGCAGAAAAAAGAGAAGGCAAGATCTAGCCCAGGAAACCTGTCAGCGGAGAGGGGCTCCTGACCACGGTAAAGTGCGCCGGCGGGCGGTGAAGGTCAGCCAGCCTCATAGCCCCAGGGTCTCTGTGCTCCAGGACCATCCCACAGCTGCCACCGGGTTCAGCGTGCGGCTGTGCGCAGAAGAGCCAGGCAGGATCCACCAGCCCAGCAGAAACATTTCCTCCTAAAATTTCTCCAGAAAAGCTCACCTTCAGACAGAAAAAGCAGACTATCAACCTGTGGTTCCCAGAGACTGATTCTAGCTCCCAGTCAATCACCATGACCAACATGATAACTGCAATTACAACGGACAGTTCTGAGCAGTCCTGCATGTTCCTGTTCCCCACATATTATCACATACCTCAGACAAATTTAAATTTTTCCCCGGATTACAATCCCAGTTTGGGAACCACTGTTTTCAGGCAAATATTTCCAAATTACATGAGCTTTGATATGAGGTGGAAATGCAGCGATAACTTCTATTGCTGTTACCAATGCTCCAACTATAACAAAATGAAAATACTTAACACCAGAACAACCCAAATTTATCGGCGCTTAGCTCTGTTTTGACAGGTCTTGAATTTCACAGCTGTTACACGCTAAGTCCAGACATGCATTCGAAAAACATCTGTTTGATCATTCTTTAGATGTTGACTAGCTGAATAACTGATATTTGAAATGTGTTTGCTGAGCCCTAGATGGAAACAGAATTTTCTGTCTCCAGTTTCTGCCAGGTGTTGCGCCTCCTACACTCTTCCCCATCACAGCCCCGGAGTATCTCCACTGAACAGCGTAGAGCTGGAACCTCCTGTACAGGTCAATTCCCTAGTTACAGAGTTTGCCCCAGGAAAAACGTCTTCCTGCAGATTTAGTAACGTGAATCTAAATCTTCGATTGCTTTTAAACACGGCCAAGTTCCTATCTGGTTTAAAATAACAGTGTTCTACCCACATTAAGAAGCTAAGACAAATTATTCCTTTTGAGAGTCTGATCTACGACACACAACACTTTCTGACTACAAACCTGTGATTTAAACCGTTCACACTTCAGTCTCCTATCTATAAAATAGGTATGTTGATGAACTTAATTCTGTCAGGTTTTTTGTAATGTTTCATATATATCAATTGGAAAAACATCAGAGGTAAAAGCCTTCCGCATCTCATGAGATACCTGCACAGTGACAAACGGAACGGAATCTTGCCCTTAACTGGGCTGACACCCAGTGCTGCGGTACAGACAAGAATGACAGCTTTACTTCACAGCAGACATACAGCTACAAAACCCTCTGTACTACAGGATTTACTGTATGAGGGAGTACGAGCATTCAGTACAGTCACAAGAACTTAAGTAAGACATGAGAATAAATTCTTCACAATGAGAGTGGACAAATATTGGAACAGATTGCCTCAAGAGGCTGTGAAATGTCCATCCTCAGAGATTTTAAAAACTCAGCAAGGCCTTGACAATCCTCTTCTGAGCAGGAGGTTGAACTAGATGTCTTCCACCGTTTCCTCCTAACTAAACTTTTCCATTACTCAGTTGGATAGACTCAGAAAATTTAGGAATAAGATCATTTCAGTAGGATGTGATGAACAGTGAAGTGCTGGACTTGATCTAACAGAAATTGCAGGTTATATCATCCATTCTTTCCTTACATGAACAATCCTGTTACAAACTATGTGAATGTGTACATTTCTGCAGGATCTTTAACACTTTTTCTGTAAGTAATGCTTCACATTATATGTTCTGTTATTCCACAAGTTTAGCTTTTGACTTAATTCTGATAGGAAATTTAACACATCTCTCCAGCACACCCCTCTAATCTCTTATTTTCTTCTTTTTAACCATTCTAATGCAAAGTTCCAAAAAACAGTGTTTATTTATCCAGAAGCTATTATTCCCCTTACTAGAGGCTTTCAGAAGCTAGAGCTGGCAATATCCACAGGATTTTCTCTACCACTTTTCCATGCATGCTGCTCCTCAGTTGCTTATTCTTCAGAGCTTTGTCTGACCTGTTTCAAAATATCACTTTTAACAGGACTTTTACTGGAAAGAATCATTCCACCATTTAACACAAGGATTCTTTTTTTCCCCCTAACTCGATTCACAAATTTTTCATGACATACCTTCATTGGCCTCTTCAGCGTCTCCTGAATATCCACGCGCTTCCGCATAATGGTCTGGTCTAGTTTGCGTTCAAAGGCCAACAGATCCATGTAGGCCTGGGACTCAGGAACCAGCTCCCGGATCTGAGAAGGAAGCAAGCAATATCCAAGCACTGGAAGCAAGAATCTACCACGTTCCAGAGCAGCAACACCGACACCATCCCAGCCCCCAGACAGACGTGCTCGAAGGGGTTACCCCAGGACAGCAGACCCCAGCGAGCGGGGCAGGTCTCAGTGGCATGGTACAAGCATGCGACCAAAAAGCTGGAGCACAGAACTGAAGCTAATGAACCCTGGAAGACCCTAGCTGGATCCACAAGGCATGAATCACGGCTGCTTCTTTTCACGTGAGGCTTAGCTACAGGCAGCCTGGGACCCTCTGCGCTCGGCAAAGTACGGTAAATTCGTCCTGTTTGAACTAAAAAAGTACTCAGTCTCTCTAGACTGAAAATAAAGGGTGCACGTTCACGCTGGGTTTTTCAAAACAAGTGTTACTCATCATGCATAAAAACTGCCATTTAGGAAGCCAGCCTTTGTCAACACATCTTCTTGGCAGAGACGAAGCTGACCTTCACATCAAAGTTTCAACATGAGCAGCCATGAGGTGTCAACTTAGGACCTTGCCAACTTCTACTGGTGTTTCAAAACATTATCTAAACTATATTAGTTCTATTACCAAACTCCTTTTTGTTTTCCCTTTTCCAGAAAAGTTTGCAGAGGAGGTGATATGAAGTAGGTTAGGAGGAAGATCTAACGATCTGAGCTTAGAAATGAGCAAGTATACTCTTACATGAAAAAGTCCATTCTCAACTGTGAATAACTCTTGCAGACAAACCACAAAAAAAAGGAACTGTAAGTAATTGTAATAAGTCTACTGAACTGCCTTGTCCATTTCTATGATATTCATTCCAGCTTTCACCTATATAATTAAAATAAATGTTAGAATACTCCTATTCTATAGGAATTAAAAGCTATCTTTTAATTTCTGGTACTCCTGTTTTGCTTTACAATCAGAAGCCTACAGTTTTAATTTGGTGTAAGACACAAACACCCGTGAGAGACACCAGGCATCCACCTGTTCACTGCATTCTGCATGGACACAAGAACTATTGCACCAGGTCATCCCAACCGTTTGTCTGTCTCAGCATTGTGTCTCTGACAGCTCTTGAAAGTTACTGCCCTTTAGTACCTACAGCAGCCTGAGCCATGGCGTTCCAGAACCTCAATGGGCAGGGCGTGAAGAAGTTCCTCCTTCTGCTCATTTTGAACCTGCCATCTGTCAGCTTCACTTGATGCCACCTTCTTGCGTGGCCGGAGCAGCACTGGGCAGGCATTCCTTATGCACCTTCTCCATACCGCTCAGACATTCTACAGTTTTTTGTCATCCCTTTCTTAATATCTTTATTTCCAGCCCAGAGAGGAACAATTCCTCCCTTCTGTATTTAGACTGATCAAGAGTATCAGATAAATGTCTCTTTCAACATTATTTGTTTGTTTTGGGATGCTAGAATGCCTGCTCGATTTACAGCAGGACTGACACTTTGGAGGAGCAGAAACCATGGAGCCAAAAACTTTGTTCAGCTTTAGCTGAACCCACTATATTTTTAACTGCTTGTATTCTTTCACGAAGCCTTAGTATCAGCAGAATAATAAAAGAAAATGAACATTTTGAAGAGTGAGGCACGAAGAGCAAGCACTGACCTGGAAACATCAAGGAGTTGCTGGACAGCTTGCAGAATAAAGACAGCTGGGCAATGCTTCCTCTCCACACTGAATACAAATCTTTGGACACAACAAAATACCCTAATGTGTTTATCATGTCCCACACAGAAGGAAAGATTCCTCAGTTCCTTCCACACAGTGGAAATTAATCATGCTGCACAGCAGCGAATTAAAAATTCTGGACCCAGAATGCAGTTTTTCAGTATTTTAACTCCAGGTTCCACCACAGTTGGCTCAGGAACTCCCAGGTACATGATGAAGCAGGGAGCTGGCCTACACAGCCCTCCGGATAAAGCCGTCGTACAACCCTTCCAGCTGGTCTGCAGGCTACTGGACCCAGGATCTCATGTAGTTTCTAATAAGTTTGTAGAAACAGCAGTAATCTTCAATAAAGATGTGCAATGTGCGCTGGAGCCCAGAAACCCCCCGTGTCCTGGGGCATCAGCAGCAGGGCGAGGGAGGGGATTGTCCCCCCCTGCTCCGCTCTGGTGAGACCCCCCTGGGGTGCTGCACCCAGCTCTGGGGTCCTCAGCACAGGAGAGACAACTGCTGGAAGGTCTCCCCAGAGCCTTCTCTTCTCCAGGCTGCACACCCCCAACTCTCTCAGCCTGTCCTCGCACGGGAGCTGCTCCAGCCTCGGACCATCTCCGTGCCCCCTCTGGCCCCGCTCCAGCAGCTCCGTGTCCAAGCTCCTAAGCCCTCCACTCACAGAGGCTCTGCAGGCAGTATATTCCTTTTTAAATTTACAAGAGATAACCAAACAGCAGCTTGTCTTTATGGAGGGCTCACAGTAAGAACAAAGATATCAAAACTGATTTAATTCCAAGCTAATTAGTGTTGTGGCTGGAAGAGTACTAAAAAGCAAATTTCACATATTATGCATGACACTGAAAAAAAAAGAAAAGTGCTACACTGCACTGGGCCAAGAACAGATCTTTCTGGTGCCACTAGAAATGACCCGGTCACCGATATGTCTCCAGATCAACAGTGAAGAACTTTTTAATTTAAGGTAACCAATAAGGTTCATTTTACTCTAAGATTTTTAGTTGAGATGTCATTGATAACAGATCAAATGGCTTGAAATCCCATAGTATCAACACAATTTCTGTTATCAAAGAATCCTGTGATCTCCTCAGAAAAAGGCAGGCTTGATGAACAAGATTTAACTTTTACAAAGCTGCTCTATGAAGCTCCAAAGTGCTCCGATGTCTTCACTCAGGCAGAGGCACAAGGATCTCCTCAAATAACATAAAACTTAACAGAGAGCTCAAGAGAAGCCCAGGCAGGGAACGAAAAGATCCCTCCTCATCTAGAGAGCAGGAAAACCTTCCAGAAGGAAAGAGAGATTCCCCAACTCTGAATTTATATTTTGCTGCCTGCCTGTCACCAAGAAAAGGAAGGGCTGTGAGTAAATGCTAACTGGACCTGGTGGCTCTCAAGCAGAGAGAACAGCATGAAAATATTGTTTAAACAACAGAAGTGCACTCCCTCCTCCTCCTCTGCACCGGCAGCAGAGAGTAATCTAATCCAGCCATCCTTAGCACAGGGGCAGAATCCCCAGGCTTCACTTCCCTACCCTCAAAAATATTGTGTTCTAATGCAATAACTTTTTCCTTCTCTTTGTACTTTGACATCCCATGAACTCCGAGTCCTAGCCCGCACTTAGCCCCAACCCCACCATAACCATCATCATCCTAATAATGCAATTGTGCTGGGGAATGGTGCACTTGTAAATTTATTTAAAATGTTATCTTTATTCTGGCTCATTATCACATAAATATTAGCAAAGGAAAAAGAGTTTCACGAGAGAAAATATTTATCTGTTTATAGTCACAGAGGTATGGGAAGACAACCAAACAGTTAAGCCGTGTTTTGATTTAAAGCAGAGAAAAACGTGGAACCTGGGCTGATAAGCCTGTTACGTGCAGCTAAAAGATACAAGCAAGACTTAGAGAGACTTACTCCTACAATGTTTTAAGCAGAATGTCATGAACATCTCCCAGTTATGAAATATAGAGTCATGGACATTTAAATCTAGACTAAACTCTCTCAAGTACACCAAAGGAACAGCTCTGCTTCGGTCTCCAAGGCTATAAAGAAAGATACACATTATGTCAAAACTGATCTAATGTGTCCATTCCAAGCTAATTACTGCTGTGGCTCGAAGGGTACTAAAACCCATCATGTGGATTCCAAATTTATTCTTCTAAATATCCAGAGACCTAGCTGTATCACTTCTGCATGAAAATTATGTCCCATCCATCCCTTAAAGATGTCAGAAATAATGGAAAAAAATAAAGGAAAACAGGTATGTCCGACTTTCAAGTGGTCCTTAGGGATACAATCCTCCACAAGAATTTCTTGAGGAACTCACAGTGACATAAGGATAAGAAGCAAATCCTGGCCATGTGTTGCCCAAGAAAGCTGACAAAAAGCAGTAAGACAGAGATTCTGTTCTCATCATGGCCAAGTGATACAGGAAACCCTACGTCTTTACACAACTTTGACTTGGTGTTCTTAATAAAATGATCCAGAAGAAGACAAAAGAGACATAAATGCAGTAAAAGCTGTAAATTTTTTTAGTTAATCATGACCTGAAAAGACTGTAAGACACTTCAGAAAAGGCTTTTTCTGAGTTTGCTGCCTGAGCTGCACGGTGGCAGATGAGCCGCAATACTGAACAAACAGAAGGGAAAGCACAATGAAGCAAGATATCTGCGCTGGTGGGTGCTAACGAGACCATGGCTGCTGACAAAGTGACCAAAGCTCACTGTGGATAAGTTAATAAGTCACCTGCATGAGCAGCAACAAACAAAGATGCAGGGTATAAAGAAGAGGAATGGTTCTGGGGCTTTTATAATTTAACTTGAACGTAAGGAACATAATCTAGAAATGACACAGGGTGGAGAAATCAGAAATAAAAAAGAGGACAGGGATATGGATCCATACTGTGGTGAACTGGGAGAAAGAAAACAATACAAATTATTAAAGGTATTTGTACAATCGAAAAACCTAGAAGCAAAGAATGTAGGACATAGCTACAGCACGGGGACTCCCACTGCTTCCCAGGGAAATACTGAAAGGATTTAGGAAATGGCAGGGGAGGAAACAATCGCCCAGAACACCACTGCAGCCGGACAGGCCAGCGCCGTTCTTAAATACAGGAGTGGGAAGACATGGAGCAAGACTAAGGATTTTACAATCATTTACAATCACTGCCATGCTTGGCAATAGCGTAATCCCTAAAAGAACACCAGAGTCACAAATGAAGAAATCTACTGACAAACTCAAGAAAATTCTGAGAAAAGCTATTGAGATGATTAGGAGACAGGAAAACATCCTCTATAATACAAGGTTCCACG